TTCTTTCTTTATCCATCGTCTTCTTCCTTTCTCTCTTTTCACCTTTTCTTGAGCCAAGAGTCTATTGAAAATAACCTGTCTATCTTGCCAGGTAGGGGTAAGGTCTGCGTACACACTATCCTCCACAAACCTACTTGTAGGATTATGCTGGGTATGTTGTTGTTGTTGTTGTTGTTTTTTGGTGCCTTGATACCTCTTTCAAATTCCTATACTTCCCTCCCCAAACTTATGCCTTAAGCCACTTATTTCATAAGAGTGTTAAAGAAGGTCCGGGTTCCAAGAGAGGATTACAAAAAAACAGGTAAAGGCTTGTAGTGTGGTTACCAAGTAAGAAAGACTAAAGGGTCAAAGGGATTGACTAGGGATAACAAGCATTGGTTGGCAATAGAAAGCTCAAACGGACCAAGGAAAACCGACAATAATCTTCCAAACCAAGCAAACTTAGGATTTAGCCTTAAAGCACATTTGGAGCAAGTTCTAGACCATTCATACAAATACTTGGACTAGCAATAAAAAATCACCCCACTCCCATGCAGCTAGATTATAAAAGAGGATAGCGTCTAGAGCCTACAACACACACAATCAAGTTAAAGATAACTATGGTCCAATTAACCACTCAATGATTATCAAAGTCAACTCAACAGTCTTAAATTCACTAACTAGAGCTATTTTCTTTTTAAAACCTTGTTTCAAACTATAAGTACGTAGTTAAGTGTGTTGGTGCCAAATGAAGCATGAATAACTCTTTTTAGAGAATGACTTGATTAGGGCTTTCATTCATTACTATTACTATTATTATTACCTAAACACAAAAATGGACTCATTCCCTTAAGAAGGTTGTCATACCATTCATCATCGAGAAGAGTCATTCGGTTCACATAAAAGACCATATTTGGAAAGAACCGTGGCATTAGGAAATCCAAAGTCTTATTACCAATACTACTACAAAAAGTATGAAAACTACAAACGTAAAAAGAAACTACTAACAATACAAAAATCAAAGTAAATAATTAAAGAAGCTAATGAAAGGAATAACTAATTAAAGATAGATAAACTAAAAAGAAATAAAATTATCCAATTATTACAGTCCAAATATATCCAAATGTGTCAGATGTATCAAATAAACTCCACCCCCTCCGAATAAAAGTAAGCATTGTCTCCAATGCTTAACAAAATAAGTGCGAAAGGAGAGAGGGCGAAGAAACTCCCTAAGCATCATTTGACATCTCAGTGTCCCCAACAACATCAACTCCTTTTGGCTCAGCCAACTTTATATTATCATCATCATATTTGGGAGTGGCAAACATCACACGCACTGCGTCAGCAAGGCATGGCTCCTTAGACTGGCCAGCTGGTGCAACCTATGCAGATGGACCTACGGCGGACTGGTCTGAGTCAAGCAGCATATCAAATGGTAAATCCCCAACTATCGCTAGTCGGGTCACCTCTTTCCTAAGCTTATCCACTGACATTTTGTTGGCTTGGAACTTGTGCATCTTCTTCACTTCTTTGGTCAAGTCCTAAATAACTGAACCATGTGAATTGATTACCAGTCACACAAGTATCTATAATTTGTATTAACCCATAAGTTTCAAAAGTTTTTCTTTGTTTTATTAAAATTTATATCAAGTCAAACACCATCACATAAATTGAGACTGAGAATGTATATTTAATTTATCACTAACTATAATAAAGTAATAAAGTTTGGTGTAAACAAGGATATAAACAAGTATTTTCTGCTTTAAGCTATGATCAATCAAGGGAAGAGAAAATAGACATTGCAGAATATGAATTAGGGGTATATTATACAAAATATGGATAATTGATCTAATCCACAATGCTTATCCAAAAAGACAGATATGAGACACCTCACCTGTGATGACCTGATAGGTCATTCTGAGTTCTAGAACTTATTTCAGTATTCAGAGACCTCGATTAGATCCGTTTAGTATTTTTTGATTTGCATGCACAGTCTGTGTCCTTTTCCAGAAAATCTTTATGTGAAAATTTGAAGAAAGTATGAATAGTTTTAAAAATGACTTGAGTTGACTATGGTTAATATTCCATATACACAATTCCAGATTGATATTTTGACGATCCCGATGGGTCTGTATCGCAATTTTGGACTAGGCCGTGTATCCAAAATTTAATTCGGAAGTCAATAACTTTATTTGACGTAATTTCATGAAAACTAGTAATTTGAGGTTTAAAGATTTTTTATGTTTGACCGTAGGTTGACTTTATGGTTACCGGGTTTGGATTTCGGTTCCTAAACTTGGTATAGGTTTATTTTACTATTCAAACCTTATCTACAAAATTTGATGTAAAACGGAGTTAATTTGATAGGATTCGGATGCTCGTTTGTGAATTTAGAAGTTCTTGAGTTTCTTTCAAAATTTCATGCATTTTGATGTCTGATTCGTAATCCTATGTGTTATTTTTGTATTTTAATCGTGCGAGCATGTTCGTATGATGTTATTAAACTTGTGTGCATGTTTGGTTTGAAACCCAAGGGCCTTGGCTGAGTTTCACATAGGCTACAGACCATTTCGAACTTGAAAAGTTGATGGTTTTTGTTGTTGTTGGTGTCTGAGGCTTTGTGCTTTGTAATCTCGAAGGTATTGTCGTGATCGCGAAGGGGAAACTAGGACAAGGGAGGATATTCTTCTATGTAAACGCGGAGAACCGATTGCGAATGCAAAGCAATGGGGGAGGGGGGGTTCCTTCGCGAACGCCATGGGTTAAGAGGGGTTCTCGGGGTCAGGTGTTACCCTACGAGAATGCGAGGTCAGGATCACGAACGCAAAGACCAGGTAGGTGAGGCCATCTTGAACGCGAAGGGCATTCAAACCGCAAAGCTTTGTGATCGCGTCAAGTGTCTCGCAAACGCGATGAATACCTGACTCCCAGTCATTTAAACAGTCCAATAATAGAAAATTGTCCCATTTTTCACTATTTTCAAGTTTGAGCTTGGCTTAGAGGCGATTTTGAAGAGGTTTTCCATCCCAACTTCATAGGTTAGTAGATTTTAACTTGTTTCCTTTCATTTTCATAAACACTCGTTGATTTTAACCTTTAATCATGCTATTTCATGGTAGAAATTAGGATTTAGGTAGAAATTAAGAATTCTTAAAAATTGAGATTTAGACCTCAAATTAAGATCAGATTTCAAAACTAATCACATAACAGGGCTCGGGGTAAATGGGTAATGGAGTTTTGGTCCGAATCTCGGATTTTGTCCAAGCGAGCCAGGTGTTGAATTTTGTTGACTTTTTCCAAAAACATTAAAGATTGAATCTTTTTCACTCGTGGGTAGTTTCTAAAGCTTATTTTGAATTTTTTGAACTATATGTGGTTAGATTTGATTGGTTTGGAGGCTAATTCTAAAGGAAAAGTCGTGGTTGAGCATTGATTCGGTTGCAGAGTGAGGTAAGTGTCGTGGTTAACCGTGACTTGAGGGATTAAGACTTGTTGGTCTATTTGCTACGTGTTTTATGTGTTGGGACAACATATATGTGAGGTGACGAGTACTTATGTGTTGTCATTGGATTAAATCATGCGTGTGGAACTTGTTTCTTTGAATTATATTATTTCGTTACTTATATTATCCCTGCTTAGGTTAGATTATACTTCTTTAATTATTCATTTTGTATTTATTGCTTATATTAAAGATGTTGAATATGTCGGAATTTGAAGCGTGATATCATGGCATCATATTTGAAGTTAAATTATTCCCCACATTATTTATTATTCGAATTTATTTATATTACATAGTGAGGACGATAGTAAAAGCACGAAGGGTGATGCCCTGCCGTTTCATTAATATTATTATATAGTGAGGACGGGAGTAAAAGTACGAAGGGTGATGCTGTGCCATTTCATTCATATTATTTACATGGTGAGGATGAGAGTAAAAGCACGAAGTATGATGTCATGCCAATATATTCATATTATTGCATGGTGAGGACGAGAGTAAAGCACGAAGGGTGATGCTATGCCATTTCATATAATTGATTTATTTGATTTCCGATTTTGGTGATTTACTTGGTCATATTGTTGCTTAATTCGAAAGATGTTATTTCGTGATTTCGTACTTGTCGTGTTTATGATAGGTGTAGTGTAATAGCCTCGTCAGTACCTCGTCGAAGTTAGGCTCGCCACTTACAGAATACATTGGGTCGGTCGCACTCGTACTATGCTTCTGCACTTCTTGTGCAGATACTGGTACTGGTCCCAGCAGTGGTTGTGGTGCGTCAGCTCGGATCATTTTCATATGGAGACTCGAGGTAGATCTACTGTCGTACGCAGACCTTGAAGTCCTCCTCCATTCCAACTTTTACTGTTTATCTCTTTCTAACAGTTGTATTTATTTCAGACTATGTTTGTAGACTTCTGGTTGCTCGTGTACTTGTGATTCTGGATGTCTGTGAATAGATATTATCGCGTGGTTTATATTAGCATTGTGTTAGATTTGGCATTTATTTCTCGTTGAATACGATTTTCTTGTTTTTAACTGTTAAAATTGGTTGGATATTAGGCACTATCACAATTCCGAGGTTGGGATTTCGGGTCGTGACACCACCAAACTATCAAAAGCAAACACTTGGTCAGTAGGACTTGTAGTTGTAGCTGCACATTACCAGAAAAAAGAAATTGGGAAGACATAAGTAATTGCCCCTTAATTTGTCCCAAACATTATTTATACACACTGACATTATAGTTGTCATTTTCTCATTGGGTGTTACGTCTGATTACACTTACTTAATTGTGTTTAGTCTAATTCTAACAGTTTTTTTTTTCTACTTTTTATATTTTTATTCCTAATTTTGGCCGTTGATACCCACCTAATTCCTCATTCCCTTGTGCTCTTCTTCCTCTGATTCTCATTCGATTAATCGAACATTTACAACCTTAACCATGCAAATTAAATGATCGTATTAAGCTGCCATAAGGGAAATACTTAATTCTTTATTTTTATTTAAATCAAATATAGTGTGGTACATGATTAATAGGTTGATCCGCACCCATACATTAACATTTAAAAGAATGATACATTCAGAAGGGCATGCATTCAAGATGAGGAGCGGACAAGACCACTTTAGAATTTAGACATAAACATAAAATAACGTTTTTTTAATACTAGTATATTTCAATAATATTGTAAATATATTAGTCCGACTAATTTTAATTCGCCCCGCTTTACTTCAAAGTCAAAACGCTCGTCATATCCCCATTCTCCAAAGAAGGCTTCTCCATTGAGCTCACGAATTTGTGTTCAAAATCACCATCTGTCTTGATATTAATGTCAATTCCTTCAAGCTCCCATTCTCTATTATACTTTCTCCTCGCATATTTGTAGACAATATATAGTATCATTTGAACAATTCCAAGCAGAAATCCCAGCACGTTTGGAAGCTGCACCAATATCCCGAATTAATATATAAGAACAGAAATTATAATAAAATTATTCTCCCTCTGTTTTGAAAAAGATTGAGACTATTTTTTTATTAGTCCTTTTCAAAAAGATTGAAACACTTTTCAATCTTTCCTTAACAAGAAACATTTATGACCACACAAGTGATATGATAGGCTTCAGAGCATAAGTTTCCAAAAAATTCAGGTAAGCAAATATTATGGCTTATTTAATACTCCTTCTGTTTCACTTTATGTGAACCTATTTCCTTTTTGGTCCGTTCCAAAAAGAATGACCCTTTTTCTAAATTTAAAAACAATTTAGCTTAAACTCTCAATTCTACCCTTAATGAGAAGCATTTATAACAACAAGAATACTCTAGACCCCTTTTTGACTTGTTTAGGACCACAAATTCTAAAAGTCTCCATTTTTCCTTAAACTCCGTGTCTAGTTAAACATGTTCACATAAATTGGAACAGAGGAAGTACCACGTATCTTAAAAGACTGCTCTTTTTTATTAAAGTTTGTCTCAAGTCAAATTGAGACTATCTTTTTGAAAATGAGGGAGTAGGAGAATACAATATCAGTATATATATAACTTTAAATCCAAAAGAGAAAAAATATGGAGAAAGAAGAATATGATCTTATTGTTCACTCACAGCAATGTAATAGTCCTTTTTGAAATATCCATAGAAGAACCACATCGTGGCACAGAGAGTGAGGAATAATGATAAAGTAAAGGGCATGAACTCTACACTCTTCGTTTTAATTACTTGCCTCTGCAACACAAATATTGAGAATCAAGAAGTAATTAATTATTCAATAGAGGAGAAAAACAGTCAAATATGATATATTAATAGTCCAATTTGAGAATGAACTATATACTATACCATTATGCTTAAAGGAGCGGCAAAGACAGCAATGTTGACGGTAGCACAAATCCATCCAACTATTTCTACTCTTTTGGAGCCTTTTGCAAATAAATAAGAAAATAGCATCACAATTCCTAACGCTCCCACGTCCAAGAGCATCAACCACACTGTTGTCATCTGTAAATTCGAGTTTTAAAAGGAAGTAAATATTAAACATGCTTCTTCTTCTTCTTGCAATACTATTATAGTGTATATAAGTTACCTTTAATTACACTCCAAATATTCAAAACCACAAGATTTAACGGGTATTTTTGGAATGTTATAAACACCACAAGATTCAAAGTCTTCTTTCGCTCAGTCAAACTAAGATACATAAAATGAAATTAGATGGAGCAAGATGGGAGAGATGAGTTTATACCTTGGACTTTTTGGAAGCATAAAAGAGAAACAATAATATGTAAATTAATTCAATAACACATCCAAAGGCATTAATGGTGACGATGAGGATGGCATTTTTTGTGAGATAAGCATAGTATAGCAATAGTCCTGCACTGAATAATGCAACGACGTATGGTATCGCTTGAAACCCTTCTGATGATCCTTTTTTGTATATTTTGTAAAAAGTTGGACTGAAAAACAAAACGAAAAAAAGAGCAATATAAACATCCAGAAAATTCTTCCAAAAAGAGAGAGAGAGAGATGAAGAAGAGTTGCCTTACACTGGTGCTAAGAACACCATAAATGAAACAATATTACCTGTAGAAAAATAGAAACCATAAGCAATGAAGTTTAATTAGAGATTAAAGTTTAAAATGGTAGTGACTAAACTAATTAAGGTGCATTAACGTACCTAAGAGGCCAAAAAGGAAAGCCAATTCTTGAACACTTAACAGTGTCATTGTTACTATAATTTAGTGAAGCTCTTAGGTGGATATATATTTTTAAAGACAGTTGGAAAAACTATGCCCGTATGCGATGCTATTTATAGCGAATTATGTGTTGTCATGAATGTTTGCCAAGAACGTAGTGTATACATTCAGGTTTCTAATTGGCTTAGGAGATTTGCAATGACATGCATATACATCCAAACTGTACGGGGTTGAACGTGTTCAGCTCATATATAGCTTTTGAGGAGATTCGGTTTTATGTTCCTCCTTTTATGTATTCAATTTTTTATTTTAATTACTCCATATATTAGGGAAGGACCAATGCTTAACTGTCACGACCCGGAATCTCAATCTCGAGGTCAGGATGACTCCTGACTCAGCTGACCAATGTAAAAGTGTAGTATGAGTACAACTGATGCAATGTATTTTATAAGTGTCGAGCCTAACTTCGACGAGGTAGTGACGAGGCTATAACAAGACACCTACATAAATAAACTTATACAAGTGTATATAAAACAACAATAACAAAGAGTGATAATGTACTAACTGGGAGAGGACATGCGAAAAGAGGAAGACATAACAAATACAACAAGTATGAAATCACGAACACAACCAAGTAAATCACCAAAAAACAGGAAAATCAGTCAAACCAATGATATGAAAATGACACGGCATCATTCTTTGTGCTTTTACTCTCGTCCTTACTATGTAATAATAATATGAACGTAATAGCACGGCATCACCCTTCGTGTTTTTACTCTCGTTCTCACCATGTAATAATGAAAATATGAATGAATGCACGACATCACCCTTCGTGCTTTTACTCTCTTCTTCACCATGTAATAATGATAACATGGATGAAATGCCACGGCATCACCCTTCGTGCTTTTAGAGCCCGTTTGGATTGGCTTAAAAAAGTAGCTTTTAAGTACAAAGTGCTTAAAAACGCTTTTTAAGTGCTGGAGATGGTTTTATAAATAAGCAGTTACGTGTTTGGATAAAAGTATTGGAGCTGAAAAAAAGCTATTGAAGTATTTGGTAAGCAAGTGTTAGTAAGCATTTTTTTTGTTAAAATTACTGAAATATCCTTAAAGCTGTTAAATCTATAAAGAAGCTTATTACTATAATATTTTATTCTAAATAATACAAATACATAATAATTAACATTTTAATTCACTTTCATTTTATAAAACTAAAAGTATTATGAAAAAAGCAAACGAAAATTAAGACAATTTCGATATGAAGAAAGCAAACGTAAATAATAATTAATATTTTAAAGAAAATTAGTTAAAAAAACAAAAAAAATGGGAGCAAACAAATCGTTACCATCTGGAGGGAAAGAAAAAGAGTAAAATGAAGAAAGTAGATGCTGCAATTTCGGGAGGAAGAAGACAACAGCAATTTCAAGTTATGTACTGAGGGGTAATTTCGAGATTAAGAAAAATTTTAATGGATAAAAATGTAATATTCTTGGTCAAAGCAATATGACTTTTAAGTCAATTTAGGAAAAAGTTGGGTTTACCCAACTTATTGGTTTTGGCTTTCTTAAAGCAGATTTTAGCTTTTTTTAAGTCATTTGTCTAGTTGCCAAACACTTCTAGAAGTTAAAAAGGGCTTAAACGCTAGTTTGACCAGCTTTTAAGCCCATTTAAATAGGCTCTTACTCTCATCCTCACCATATAGTAATGATAACATGAATTCGAATAATAAACAATGCGGAGAATAAATTTAACTTCAAATATGGTGGCATGATATCTAACTTCAACCTCCAAAAATATTCAATAATTTTGAAATAAGCAATAAATACAAAATGAATAGTCAAAGAAGTGATAATCTAACCTAAGCATGGATATCATAATTAATGGAACAATATAATACAAAGAAACAATTTCCCACCAGCATGCTTTAACCCAATGACAATGCATAGGTACTCGTCACCTCACATATAAGTTGTCCCCACACGTAAAACACATAGCAAATAAATCAACAATCTGCGTCCCTCAAGTCAATGTTAACCACGACACATACCTCACTCTGCAACCAAATCAAGGCTCCGAACCAATCAAATCTAACCGAATATCGTTCAAATAATTCAAAATAAACTTTAAAAACTATCCACAAGTGAAAAAGATTCAATCTTTAATGTTTTTGGAAAAGGTCAATCCCGGGCTTGTTTGGTCAAAATTCGAGATTCGGACGCAGATTGTTGATTAATTTCAAAATCCGACCTCAAATTGATGTCTAAATCTCAATTTCTCAAAATCCCCCAATTTCTACCTAAACCCCTAGTTTCTACCATGAAAAAGCATAGATTAAAGTCAATGGGCGTTTATAGAAATGTAAAGGGTTGTTTGGTATGAGGTATAAAAAGGTATTGTGCTGGTACAAAAATTTAATACCACTTTAATGCTTTGTTTGGTTAGCAAACCAGGTATAAGTTATCCCTAGATTAAAATTAACATCGGGATAACTTATACCTTATAGAGGATGCAGTAATTAGCATCTGTATAACTTATACATTCTTCTTATAAATTATGCAATTGTCGTATTTAATACAACATACCAAACAATGGATAAAAAATAATCTCAGCATAATTAATCCAGGCATAAGCCGTATTCAAACCAAACGACACCTAAGGAAACAAGTTAAAATCTACTAACCTATGAAGCTTGGATGGAAAACCTATTCAAAATTGCCTCTACGCCAAGCTCAAACTTGAAAATGGTGAAAATGACTTAATTCTCGACTTTGGGGCCTTTTAATCACTGGGCGTCAGACCTTCTTCGCATTTGCAAAGGGCCTGCCGCATTCGTGAAGAACAGCGACCCGAGTGGCCTTCCCGTTCGTAAAAGGTTGCACGCGTTCACGATGGCATGTTCCTTCGTATTCGCAAGCCTGGGCTCCCGTACGCATAGAACAACCCCTACTTTCCCAGACCTCACCTAACACATCGCGTTCGTGAGTGAAGTGTCACGTTTGCAAAAGGTAATTCCTTCGATGCTTCACATTCGCGACCGCTTCTCTGCATTCGCTTAGAAGAAAATCACCCTAGCACCAAGTTCCCATTCGTGATCGCGAGAGTAGCTTCGCAATCGCGAAGAAGAAAACACTAGAGATCAGCAACAACTGAACTAATAGATCCTCTAAGTCCAAAATCGATCTGTAGCCTATCCGAAACTCACCCGAGCCCCTCATGCTCCAAACCAAACATGCACACAAGTGTAGTAACATCATACGAACTCACTCGCATAATCAAAATACCAAAATAACACCTAGAACTATGTATCGGACATCAAAATGCATGAAATTTTCAAAGAAACTTAAGAACTTTTAAATTCCCAACCGAGCATCCTAATCATATCGAAACAACTCCGTTTTGCACCAAATTTTGCAGATAAGTCTTAAATAGTAAAATGAACCTATACCAAATTCCGGAACTAAAATCCAAACTCGTAGCTATAAAGTCAACCTACGGTCAAACTTCGAAATTCTTTAAACCTTCAATTTACTAGTTTTCAACAAACCACGTTAAAACAACTTAGGGACTTCCGAATTCAATTACGGGCATGCGTCCAAATCCAAAATCATGATTCAAACCAACTAGGACTTTCAAAATACCGATCTGAGTCCATTTACACAAAATATTGATCGTAGTCAACCCAAATCATTTTAAGGCTAAAATTCATATTTTCTTCAGTTTTTCACATAACAATTTTTCGAAATAAGATATGGACTGCGCACGCAAATTGAGAAATACTAAACGGAACTAATCGAGGTTTCAAAATACGGAAATAAAGGTAATAACTTAAAGTGACTTATTAGGTCATCACATTAACTCCGCTGCCAGAAGGCAGCTTTCCTTTAAGTATAAATTTGCCTTATTAAGAAATAAATGCAGGCTCTTGTATCAAAAGGTGTGGTATCAACAACCTAGAATAATAATACTAATAATTTAATAAATATTACAATAATAAAAATAACAATGATATCAACAATAATTTAAAGGTGGATCAAGGTTTAAACTTAATGAGTTCAAACTTACACTAAACTCATTGTACTATTAAAATTATAGGTTCAAATCTAATACTCTTTGCTATGATTTTAGTAAGCTCATTATTGCTATTAAAATATATATATATATATATAT